AAATTTAGCCAGGCAGTTTATTTTTTCTTATAAAATCAGGGTAGGTATGGTATTCCAAGTCCATGTCACTTTGTAGATCTTCCTGTTTAAGGTCTGAAATTGAAGCTATCGCTCCACTTATTGTTGTTTTTATGTCTTCCCTCTTCTGTTCAGAAACTCCTTGGAAGCGTAGAACATGCATAGATTTATCAAGTTGAAGTTGAAGTAGTTGATTTTTATCCATATTTCTTTCCTTCTTAACTTCTTTTAATTGTTGCTTAATATCAATAGTCCTTGTTTCAACTTTCTCAATCCTTTTATCTGTCTTATTGGCTCTTTTTTCCATTTGGGTAAGTTGCTTTTGAACGGAATCCAGCTTGGTATTAATTGTAGACATTTGGTCCAGCAGAGGGTGCAGTGCTGCAGCAAGCATATTGGGAAAGTCTGCAGCCGCTTCCTGTGGGTGACTGGGAGTCATTGGTGTAGTAGTTCCTGGTAGAAGTTTCTTTTCCGCTGCCATTCTCCTCACCCTCCCAGCCACTTGTTTATAATGAAGAAAAGTTTTAGTTTTAAATTAAAGTTTCTCTGAAGTCCACGTTCTTGGGCTTAAAATACAGCTTTCAAGTCTCGAGCGGTAAGTTTAATTCCTTCTTCCCTTTTTGTACCGCTTAAAGACTGCTCCATTTTGGGGGGGGGTCTCCAACCCTTCCCCACACGCCATTCTTTCTCCAGTCCATCTAGCAAGCCGAGACTTCTTCGCTTATACAGAAGTTTGATTAACTCACTGTTTAGACGAGTTTGATTATTGCCGGGTTTATTTTCGCTTATTTTCTTGTCTGCTCGTCCGGAGGTCGGCTCTCGTCGCCATACTGGCTCCACGGCAGCAGGACCTCTTGGGGACAGGCAAGCCTCAAATCCCTCGGATGTCACCTTGGGAGAGGTTTATCCCAGCTCCCCAGGCTGAGAGTCTCCTACAGAGACTCTATGGGGGTCTGGAACCAGCCAAGACCCCTCCTGATCACCTCGGCTTGACACGTCGCCATTGGAGGGTCGATGGGACATGTCCAAGAGCAAGCCACCATAAACCGGAAACCTACAGTATTGCCAGTTTTCAAGCCCTGGTGTCTGAGAGTAAAAGGCAGGAGGAAGGGGCAGGGCTTTTTCCAGAGCTGTTTTGGCCTTTCAGAGAATACTCAAGGCCTGGGGCCAGCAGCTACCAGTGGGTGACTTGCTACCATACAACTTGCATGACTCACCCAGGCCTGGCTGCTTGATAGTATTCAACAGCAGTCACCCCACAAAAGCCATTGTGGTTCAGTGGTTAGATTTTCACACTAGCATCTTGGAGGCCCAAGATCAAACCTCCACTCTGCCATGGAAGTTCACTACACGACCCTGGGCAAGTCACTCTCCCTCTGCCTAACCTAACTCACAGGGTTGTTGTGATTATAAAGTTGAGGAAAGGAGCATGATATAAGCTACTTTGGGACCCCATTGTGGAGAGCATAAATAAAGTCAATAACTAATAAATACAGCTGAATATGGTGGACAGAAAAAAATGTAGGTTGGTGGGTAGGATGGAGACAAGGAAACAGGGAAATGGGAAAGAATATGAGTGCTGCCACAAAGAGAGAAAGAGGAAATGGGGAGGGACATACAGGTGCCCCCCAAAGTCCTTGCAGTTTCTCCACTGTGCAACTGGGCCCAATCCAGCCGGCACCATACAACTGGGCCATAGTTTTCTTGAGTGAAGGCTGCCAGGGGGAGGGAAGGAAGGAAAGCTGAAAACAGGGAGGTAGATAGTGGTAGCCTGGCTGGTGGGTGTAAAGGAGACAAGGAAGCAGGAAAAAGGGTGGAGCTAATGGGGCTTTTGGGGAAGGGAAAGGGCAAATACTGGGGGAGGAGAAAATGAGATGCCCCCCACATGAGGGAGAACTAAGCCCAGGTAATGGCATTGCCATAGCAGTTACATAAACTTTGCTTTGTTTTGCATGGACAAAGATTAGATCCTGAAACAGCCATGAAACTGTTGGACTTTAATAAAGTTGTAAAATTCATGTTTCCTTGGATCAGATTTTGGATAAACAGAATTTAAAAAAAATCTAACTCAGCAGTTTGGCTTCAACCTGCACTCTTCTGTTGGCAAGTAGAAATAGTATGTTGTTCCAATTGCCACTTTCCCCTTTGTCCTATTAAGAAAAAACAGCTGTGGTGCTCATTGGCCATTGTTGGTTTGTTTTAATTACATGTACTAATGAATACCATGTCACTATTATGTAATTTTCTTTTGGAGTTTTGTAAAAGAACATTATTAACCAATATATTTCAGTGGAAAACTTATAAATGATTAGAAAAAAGGATGACACATATTTGGTTGCTGGGGATACCTTAGGTCACATCCTAGGTATTTACAGCTTCTTCTGAACAATCTGAGGGCCGTCTGGAGAAATTAGGAACAGTTGTTGAGTCCCTGGAACACAGTGAATCCAAACCTCTGCCTAAATGAAGTCACTTTCCTATGTGAGGACAAACATTGGACCTATTTGTGGCCTGCGGTCAGTACCAAATAGCTCTAGAGCAGCTTCATACCATCCCCAAATGCCAATCTAAATTCCTTGTGTTCCTTGGTGTAAAACTGATTTTGAGCATTGTGTTATCAAAGAGAATGTGTCATTATGTTAATAAATAAATTGATATTTTCTCCCTCGTCCTAAGCAAGTCTACAGCTAAACAGAGCCTCATACGTTCAATAAAAGTTTAGAAACTTATTTGTAAGGACTACAAATGCTGCATCAGAACCAGGGCTTTTTTTGTAGAAAAAGCCCAGCAGGAACTCATTAGCATAATAAGCCACACCTGACAGCAGAAACTCATTAGCATATTAGGCTACACCTCCATGCCTTCCTTTGGCTTGCCTGGGTGCCCCACAGCTGCGGGGAGCCTGGGAAAGCCAGCCCTTGGACTGGCCGGGCAAGGCACAGGGAGGCATTTAAATGCCTCCCCGATCCTTCCAGGGGCCCCCCTGGCCCACCAGCCTCAGAGTCACCAGGGGGGGAGTCCTCTCCAGGCCTTTCCTCTGTAGCCACGCATGCGCAGAGGTTATGGCTGTAGGTGTGGGCATGGCCAACTCAGAAGCCAGCCAGAACTCCATTCCTGTGCATTCCTGCCCAAAAATAGCCCTGGGTACAGGGAGCATGGGCCTCCTCCTGTGTCTCCCCTGCCAATCTGTCACCTGAAACAGCTGCTTGGGCGACATGGGCATTGAACTGGCCCTTGTAGGAATGGAGATAAAGCACATCACGTTCTTTGGACCTCTACAGAAACATCATTTCATCCAGGCATTCATTAGTATTTCGGCAGCTGTCCATCCATAATGCTGGCTCATCCATGAAGTTCTGCCCCTTCACTTGGAAGGAAGCGCTGCTACCTCCAATGAGATCGACTCCTGCTGAGCATCCATAGGAATAACCAGTCCAATTAGTCCTTGCTTGTGCCACTCCTTTGGCTAAAATCCCACCTAGCATCCACCAGGGACCGAATATTCGTGGAGCAAGTCCAGTTCACAGCAATCTGATCTTGTAGCAGGAATGGGGTCCTGCCCAAAAATAGCCCTGATCAGAACTATATATTTGTATGATTGAGTTTACTGCGTTTTACTCCTATGTGTAGCCTATAGCCTTAATCATATGAAATCATTACATCACCATCCACTGTTTCTAATTGAAAGCTCGAGGCTGTACAACTTATCTATTATATGGTCAGTATTTGTGCAAATCAACTAATATGGTCATGGGAGATAAAAAATGCCAGATCATCTCTACAGATCTGTCATGTCTTCAACATAACAGATTTATGCACAAAGTCAACTTTTACTCTTAAAACTTAAATATTTTACACTACTATATGAATTGGGGCTAAGGATCTAGACTAGTTTTATAAGCAGGGCTTTTTTTTGCAGGAAAAGTCCAGCATGAACTTATTAGCATAATAGGCCACACCCTGACAGTGCAGCTCATTAGCATATTAGGCCACATCTTCATGCCTCATGCCTTCCCTTGGCTTGCCCAGGCACCCTGTGGCTGCGGCGAGCCCGGGCAAGCCCTCCCATTTGAAGGGAAGGCAGCCGTTGGACAGGCTGGGGAAGGCACTGGAGGCATTTAAATGCCTCCCCGATCCTTCCAGGGGGGCCTTGGAGTCGCCAGGGGGGTCACTCTCCAGGCCTTCCCTCTGTAGCCATGCACGCAGAGGTTTTGGCTGTAGTGGGCGTGGCTAACTCTGAAGCCAGCCGGAACTCCATTCCTGTGCGTTCCTGCCCCAAAATACCCCTGTTTATAAGGATCTAGAGCAGCATTCTTGTATGCCATCCAATCTGGAAGACTAAGAAACAAAAGGTTTTCTGATGCTTCTAGATGGAAAGAACATGTTCTTTATATGCATTAATAGTTCAGCACTTTCAAGTGGCTGGCAAAACAAAACACCTCAGAAGTGCATATGGGATAAGCAACATGCAGAGATCAGTCATCATCAAAACTAAACAAATATAGAATTTTACTACAGAATTTTGCATTTAACAAAGACAAACATTGTACTCTTCAGAATATGTGGATCTGCAATAAAAATTTAAAATATCTCCAGTGGGGTTGCACTGGTTCAAACACTCCAACAATAACTGAAGGAACATGAAGTGTCTGACATCAATAAGATGATGTAGACGAAACTGACACTGAAAGGCCTAAAAGTAAAGGGTTGCACAAGCAGTATAATGATAGAACAGACCTTTGACCTGCCTAAAATAAAATGTGCAATTTCATAAAGGACAAAGATATACCAGAGGGGATATCTCTCCTGTGTTAACCATTTATTTCTAACACATAATTCTTCCATCTTTCCCATCTATAATTGAGAAACACAGAGAAAAACAACTTGCAATTAAATACTAAACTATAAAACCTGATAAAAGCTTAGAATTACAGAATGGAAATGTTTCAGGAAATTTCAAACTTGGCATAAATTATACTTACAATGAATATAAGAGATTAACTGTAAAGTCTTCAGTCAGATAAGATGATTTACTAGATAATCCCACAACACAAAACAACTCCTCTGAGTTTACTGCAGTCCAAAATTGAAGATTCCACATTGAATCTAAATAGGAAAGTTAAACATTATTCAAAATCTTCTTATAAACTAAGGCTACTGAACTACTACTACTACTACTACTACTACTACTAATAATAATAATAATAATAATAATAATAATAATGTAAAATACATTTCAAGGAAACTAATAGACAATTTATATATCCAGGTAAATAGCACAGCTGTTACACTGTGTATTATACTCATCTTAGTAGCAGCATAAAAATCGATAAAGAATCCACTTTTTTTTTAGGCTATAATTGTCAGGGTTTGGGTCTGATGAGTCTTCCTTAGAAGATGAAGATGTGATGGCACCTAACCTCATGAAGGTCAAAATCCTGCCAAGCTCTGTGTCTTCTGACTTCCAGGATCCATCAGAAGACAAGCAGCCATGGCTGCCAGTCATGAAGCTCAGATGACCCATAAACAGAAGGCAAAGTCAAGACTGGAGCTGCAATTGAACCTACTAATAAGATCCACCTCTCACCAAGGGATCCCACAATCATCTCCAGACCCCAGGAGTAAAGAAAATTGAAGACACAGGCGGAAGCTCAGGTCAGATAGAGGAGTGCTATAAGAAAAACCAGATCTACTGTGAGACTTTGCAGAATGCTGGACAGGGTCCTACTGTGTGCCCACAAACTTTGGCCCACTATTACAGCTGTCAGCACTACAAATAGTCTCACTTCTTTTCCAGAGATTGTGGAATCAACAGCTTTGATAGTGCTTGCTATGTTGACTATGCTTATGTAGACTTCTGCTTGGTTCTGGCCCCTTAACCTGAGGACAGAAATTTAAACATACCTGTTTTCTCAGAATGAAACCCAGGTACTGTTATTGACTGAGGCAATCTTTACTTTACACAGGCTTGACATCAAGCACCTAGCAGGCAGCAGGTGCTTCTAGATTTCTCAAATTAGCTCAGATGGTCCTCACCTCTCTAGCTGAGTTGCTTTGCATTATGATTCAGATACTATTTGGAAATTACCTTCTACAAGCATACCTATTTGTTGAGTAAATGCCTTGGTTTCCATCTCTGCAATGTATATAAAGCAACTAACATATGTATCAGTCCAGTGACAACACAAGTGATCTTCAGCCACCAATGCTGTGACATTTGCTTTAGTTGGATCAGGTTCCTCATTTGAAATAAGACTGTTTTCTGCAATTGCAACAGGCAAAGGAAAGCCAGAATTCTTCCCAGTTGGTTGACATGGTAATTGAAAGCTTTGTGGAGGAATCCGATATACCATGCAATGGGAAATTACCACTTGAAGAAAATCTACATGCACAAAAAGAAAAAGAAAGGATTCAAAGTTGAAGACTTCATTTTGGAGGGAGCATTTATTATCAGAAGACAAATTCCAGGCAAGAAACAAACATTCCCAAGTGCAAAATCATTAAAAAATGTGTCTATTGAGGCCTTTGGTGCTGCTTTTATCCCTTCTAGTTTTGTTATTTTTGTAATTTAGTTATTGGCCTAAGACTAAAACTTGAAGACCTTAATTCACATAGAAATACAAGGCTGGTAAATATTCTGACAATTGCTTGGATCCATGAGAATTTGGGTTTCTGTCAAAGGAACAGAGCATCCCCACCTCTTTCCTCCTGCTGCAACATAGAAAGTCCCTATGAGGAGATCAGGGCCCTATGAGGAGATCAGGGCCCATGCAGTTCCGCAGGGCCTGTAAAACGGAGCTCTTCCACCAGGCCTTTATGTAGGGGCCGCCACTACTATCATTGCCACCATTACCACCAACGGTGGCAACACCATCAGGATCAGAAATTATTGCCACCATTACCATCAACGGTGGCAACATTATTAAGATCAGAAATCATCCGGGTAGCCTAACAGTAAGGAGAACTGCGCTGCAATGAGACCAACGGGCTGGTTCGAACCACCTACTTGATAGTGGCGCCAAATGGGACCGATGGACAACACTATTATAACAACTGAGACCATCTTGTCAAGCAAGCACTTTATTGTAGTTAGTGATGTTGAAGTATTTTATTGCTATTTATCGTTATGTCATTATTGTTATATTTATGATTTTATTGTTTTACTGGTTTTATGCTGGGCTTATGCCCCTTGTAAGCCGCCCTGAGCCCGCGTGCGGGGAGGGCGGGGTAAAAATGCTTAAATAAATATAAATAAAATAAATAAATTCCCTCTGTAGCCATGCATGCAGATGTTTTGGCTGTAGGGGGCGTGGCCAACTCTGAAGCCAGCCAGAACTCCGCTCCTGTGCGTTCCGGCCCAAAAATAGCTCTGGTTTTCTCAAAAAACAACAACCCCACACTAATCTGGCTGCCAAAGCAGAGTAAACTCTCTGTGAGGGAACAACCAATAAGTAGTCAGGTACCAACTGGTTCAAAAGACCAACTGTAGTACAAAATCTGTGATAGGTTTTATTAGGTTTTAAACAGATTTTTAAAAAATGGTAATAGAAGACAGTTTACTATCTCTATGAAGACTTACATAAAGAAAACAGTATAGCAGCTACAGAAGAATAAATCTCTAGTAATGAAATCCCAAATCTTATGCAAAAGGAAACTATTTCATCTCATATCCACTGAGAAGGAGGGAAAGTTGTGCAGGTAACAGAGAACTCAATCTGCAGATTCTACCTAAAAATATCTAGAGCACTATTGCAGTCCATCAGATGAATATTCACTGTTCTTTAACAAGGCAGACACAGTGCCACGTTATGCTTAAGATTCATCAGCAGAAAGTAATTCCATGCAGTAGAGCCTGTTGATTGAACAGAATGTTAGCATCCAATCACAGCAAATAATCAGTATGACTGTATGCAAGCACACTGTATTCATCTAGTATTAAATTATAATTCCTCTTGGTTTTATACACACAAATGTCTAATTTGAAAACAATATGTTGTATATATAGGAGCAAGGACCATGGGATCAAATTATCATGGAAAAATTTACAAAATGTTTGGGATGGGGTTGTATACCTATCTCTTATCTTACTACCATCATTTACTTTTTTATGATAGTATTTTAGACTTCTGAGTTGTTAATACAATATGTATAGGATATATCATTCATTGTTCCTATGCACTGAACTTCTTACAATGCTTTGCAGTATTTTACAAGGGTTGCAGCTGCAATCCACATATTTGTCCACTGTATGAGTTTCTAAACATCTGCACAGCCTTCCTAAATTTCTCAACTTTTAATGCCCAACATTATCCTACAACTTTCTTGTTTCAATTGGAAATTTATATCTTAAACCAATTAACACTATTATTATGAGAATCACATATTTTACAGTAAGTGTCAAACACAGTGGCAGTTGACATTTACTTAAAATGTTGACAAATTTAGGAAGGCTGTGCAGATGATCAAAATCTCAAACAGTGGACATGCACTGCTTTGCATTTGTTCATACATTCAGCTAAGCAAAGTTTTATTACTGTGGCCTTTCTTTGTTCAACCAGCACCCTGCTTTTTGCAGTATTCCAAAGTATGTGAAAGACTCTTTGTTGATATTCAGCTCAATCCACAGAAATCCAGGGATGGTCACTGGCATGATTCTGCTCCTTTCTATTCACATTGTTCAACATGTGTGGTAACTCATGTAGTTTTGTGATAGAAACTGGCTGTAGTGAAAACAAATTAAATTGAATCATACTGTGTTGTGAATATCATGGCCTGAGTCCAAAACATTATGCAACTAATTCTGCTTTAGACTATTTCTCAGATATTACCCTCTGCATTACATTAAAAAAAAACGTTTTCTGAATCTAAGATGAATTTCAAAATAAGTTTGTAATGTGAAAGATGGTCTGCTGCCCAAAGGAGAAAAACTGGAAATCCCTTTAGGCAGGCCTAAACTTTGGCTTAAATTTTTAGATTCCAGCCACAATTCCCCCCGTTTTCTGGATGTATGCTGATATTTATGGTCAATTACATCTTCTGACCCACCCCATGTACTAGGATCAATGCTGCTACGCTGCCATAGTTACAAACAAACTTCAGTTAATCGAAAGATGTTTGTGATCTACATTTTAAGCTCATGTCCTGTAAGGTATAGAGAGATTCTATAGTACAAAACAGAAAGCAACTGCACCAAAATGGGGAACGTCATTAGGTCTGAGATTTAGACATGTCATCTGCAATTTTTTAAAACCCCAAAATAGGTAACTTACTCAACTGTAGAAATCTGATCAAAATATTATGCCAGCTCATCTTGGTCTGAACAGCAGATCTGAAAGACAAAAAAGTGTTAAAAATTGATATTGTATTGAAATGTACAGAAGTTGAATAAACTTCCAGAATTTATTATTTTCCTTAAAAAACTTACAGCTCTTAAAAATCACATATGATTTGGAAAAATAAAGAAATTCATTTTGTATTCACAAGTATTTTGACAAAGTTTTCAATATGTATATTATATTTAGAATATTGTTAGAACATTTCTTCTAACTAGTTAATTCTTCTCAGAAATGTTTATATGGGCAAGCAACTAATAGTGGTGGCAATAATCACTGTTGTACATAGGCAATCCCAAAGTTAAAACAGTGGTGGTAACATACCAACAATAATGAAAGAACATCACAAATAATTGCTACTAAAGTTTTATGTACAATTGGTGTAGCCAGCAATTTTTATGGGTATGGGTGTTCCAATGTGCTCAGAATTGTGGAGTTCCCTCCCCCCGCCCCATTAACTAAATAGTGTTGATATGTGCGTACATTATTTCACTGACATAAATCTGCTCATTCCAGTGAGGCAAGTGGTAACATACACAGAAACTCAATGACAGGATTCAGAGGTTTGTAGGCCTGTTGCATACAGAGTAGTTGAAGGGCTATTTAAACATCCTGCTTTTCTTCAGAAACCCCCTTTCCCAACTTGCTTTTGGTTCTTCTGGGGAAAACTGACTGATACAATATTTCACCAGCATTGCCCAAAGCAGTCTGGACTTGAGAGGGAACAGTGATTTCCAAGGAGAAACAGTCTGAGGATTAAATAGTTCCCCAGAACCATTTTTCTACTTTAAATCTCATCCCCAGTAGCTGCATGGTATAAAATAAAACAACTTTTTTCAATCACAGAACTAGAAGTAACATTCAGGTTGGTAGCTGTGTTGGTCTGTAACATGTAGTTCCTGTTAAAGGTAAAGGTTTCCTTGCCCAAAAGCCAGTCGAGTCCAACTCTAGGGTTACGGTGCTCATCTCTATTTCAAACCCGAAGAGCCAGCACTGTCCGAAGACATTTTCTGTGGTCATGTGGCCGGCATGACTAAACACCAAGGCGCATGGAACGCTGTTACCTTCCCAGCGAAGTGGTACCTATTTATCTACTTGCAATTTCTTGTTTTCGAACTGCTAGGTTGGCAGGAGCTGGAACTAGAGACAGGAGCTCACTCTGTCATGCGGCACCTGGGTCTCGAACTGCTGAACTACTGACCTTCCACAGCCTGCAGTTCAGCGTCTTAACCACTTGAGCCACCGCAGTTCCTGTTATATCTTAATAAATTTCAAGCCTCGTTGTAAAAGGCACAGTATCATTTTCTTCTGTTATCTGGATCATTAACTAAGATGTAATGAATGCAAACTTTTCCACAGGCTTACAAACAAAGACCAGCAAAATCGACAAGGATTACAGACCTGCTGTTTGCAGGTGCTTGTGCTACCCACAAGCAAAGCCATCTATAATAGTTTATGGGATGTATTTTGGTTCTCTGTCATGATTAGCAACCAGAGGACTGGATCCTAAGTTGTGTTAACAATGGTTCCACCAATGGAACAAGCATGCCCATTGGGGGAGGAACAGAGAGTGATTTCTGCTGCTTTCTCACCTCCCACTGCAGAATGACCCCCACACTGTTTCCAAGGATTCACTAAGGGTCTCATTACACAAGACACTAGATTCCAGTTGCACTGGGGGGAAACCAAACCCAATTCATGTCAGACATGTAACCAAAGACTCATCTTCAAAAGTACTTTCTGCCCCTGTTTCTAGTTGCCCTTTTCTGCATTTTTTCCAATGCTATAATATCTTTTTTGAGGTGTGGTGACCAGAACTGTACAAAGTACTCCAAATGAGGTTGCACCATCAATTTATACAGGGGCATTATGATACTGGCTGATTTGTTTTCAATTCCCTTCCTAATAATCCCCAGCATAGTGTTGGCCTTTTTTATTGCAGTCACACACTGTCTAGACATTTTCATTGAGTTATCAACTACAACTCCAAGATCTCTCTCTTGGTCAGTCTCTGCCAGTTCGGACCCCATCAATGTGTATTTATAGTTAGGATTTTTGGTTCCAATGTGCATCACCTTGCACTTGGCCACACTGAACCCCATTTGCCACACTGATGCCCACTCGCCCATCCTCAACAGATCCCCTTAGAGTGCTTCACAATCCTCCCTGGTTCTCACCACCCTGAACAACTTCGTGTCAGCTGCAAATTTAGCCATTTCACTGCTTACTCCCAACTCCAAATCATTAATAAACAAGTTAAAAAGCATCAGACCGAATACTGATCCCTGCAGTACCCCACTGCTTACCACCCTCCACTGAGAAAATTTCCCATTTATACTCACTCTCTGTTTCCTATTAATTAGCCAGTTTTTGATCCACAAGAGGACTTGTCCTTGTATCCCATGACTATTGAGCTTACTTAGGAGTCTTTGATGAGGAAACTTTATCAAACGCTTTCTGAAAGTCAAGGTAAACAACATCTATTGGGTCCCCATTGTCCACATGTTTGTTCACTCCCTCAAAAAATACTAATAGGTTCGTGAGACAAGATCTTCTCTTATAGAACCCATGCTGAGTCTGCCTCAATAGTTTTTGTTCATCAATGTGCCTACTAATTCTTTTCTTAATAATGGTTTCCACCAATTTGCCTGGTATCGACGTCAGACTGATTGGCCTGTAATTTCCCGGATCTCCTCTGGAACCCTTTTTAAAGATGGGAGTGACATTAGCTACTTTCCAGTCCTCAGGAATGGAGGCAGATTTTAATGAAAGATTACATATTTTTGTCAGAAGATCCACAAGTTCACATTTGAGTTCTTTCAGAACTCTCAGATCCAGGCCTGGTGATTTATCAGTTTTTAAGTTGTCTATCAGTCATAGGACCTCCTCTCTCGTCACCTCAATCTGACTCAGGTCTTTCAACACCCCTCCCGAAATCAGCGGTTCTGGAGTGGGCAAGCACTTCTCATCTTCAACAGTGAAGACAGAGGCAAAAAATGCATTTAGCTTCTCAGCCATGTCCCTATCATCCTTCAGTACTCCTTTGACCCCTTGGTCATCCAAGGGCCCCACTGCCTCCCTGGCTGGTTTCCTGCTTCTAATGTATTTGAAGAAAGTTTTATTGTTGGTCTTTATATTTTTTGCTATATGCTCCTCATATTCCCTTTTTGCCTGCCTGATCACAGACTTGCATTTTATTTGCCACAGCTTGTGTTCCCTTTTATTAAATAGAAAGAGTTAAAAACTCTCCCATGATGCTATGGGACTCATTTAACCCCATCCCACATTATTTAATGAAACACAGGCAGTCCAGTGATGGGTGTCCCACAGACATCCCACTTACTTTGTGATTTCTGTTCCTGTAATTTATCATGATACTCTAAAATGATGCTGTTTTTACACAGGCAAATTACAGAGACAGTAATTTTCAAAAGTACAATTTGCAGTTTTCCACACTCATCTCACTGTAATATTTAGTGGTTCTCACCTTGTGGAAGGCACCCCCATCCTTATTTAATATCCCTGACACTGGCAGTTGGGGGTGAGAACAGGGATATTCACAGATAATGGTGGCCTTCCACAAGAGAAGAGCTACTATTAAAGTAGTGTTTGTCTAGAATTCACAACTACATTTTCAGCAGCATATTCCAAGGTGAATGTAAAATGTGCTCAGATTCCAAATCTGGGGAGAGGAGATCAGTCCTAAAATCAGGTTGAGATGATGAAAGTAAGCTTGGAAGTCTATAACTTAATTTATGAAGAAATTCAGGGTTGCAGCCTCAGCATCATGAAGTCCAACACTTTGAACACTTCAGATTAAGTATGAATATGCATGTTTGCTATAGATAAGCTTGAAAACTAATGTGCCCTTTCTACTGCAGAAAGATTCCTTGAAATAATAAAACTTTTACAGAGAAAACAAGTTTGTCTCAGTTCCCTGGAGTTTCACAAAAGTTTCATCAATCATGCTGTCACTGACATATTCAAAACTTTTTAAAAAATCAAGAAATCCAACAGGAAGCAAAAACACAAGCCAAAGGGATTCTTTTATAAATACAAAGAACACTGTTTGTTTACTGAACCAAATTCAGAATTCTTTATTGCTTTAAGATGGATTCACTGAAATCATTTTATAGGATCAGTTGTGCAACTGGAAAAAGAAAACGGGTAAAATATGCAGAGGCCAAATCATACATGTCTACACAAGTACAATGTGTACAATTTCCTTTGGAATACTGGATGGCACATCACATAACTATACCCAATTATGTTGTCTGCATATCTGGTACGTCCAAAATCTGTAATATCTTCTTGTACTATTCAGCACGAAAGAAAAAGATACTTCAAAATCTGCACAATATTAAATGTAATACAACCAAGTGGAAAGTGTCTGTCTTCAAATTGATAAACAGATATGTCCCAATTTCTGCTAATTTCATGCTATAACCAAAGAAAAAGAAACAGGCTACCATTACAGCAAAAGTAGACATTTATAGTATCCTGAATTTTCAGCAGAACAGTCCATTTCTTAAGCACTGGACAAACAAACGAGAACTCCAGTGATATTATAGTTCAACTAACTCACGATGAAATTTCTCACAGCTTAAATAATCATGTATGGTTTGGTGCACAAGACATTGCACCAGAATACACTAATGGTTGGGGACAGAGAGTGGCGCTGGGTGGGGAAGTGTCCCTGAGGCACCTGCTGGTATGTGGGGTTCCTCAAGGGGCACCCCTGATGTTGTTCAGTATCTATATGTGCCTCTCACCCAGCTGGTGCAGTTTCAGACTGGGGTGCCATTTAGCTGAGGGTTTGGAGGTCATAGTGGGATGGTTAAAGCTGAGTCGGCTGAAGCTGAATCCAGGTAAGACAGAGGGGCTGGGTGGGGGGTGGGTCACAGTTGGGCTGCCAACTCCTGGCTCTTAATGGAGTGCCTTTCACCAGCACCAACAGTCAGGAGCCTGGGTGTGACTCTGGATGCTACCTTGTCAGTGAGGGCCCAGGTTGTGAAGGTTGCCAGGCTGGCATTTCTCCAACTGCGGCAGGTTTGGCAACTGGCTCCCTACCTGTCCCACTCTGACCTAGCCACGGTAATCCATGCAATGATCACCTCCAGAGAGATTACTGTAACTCACTCTATGTGGGCCTTCCCTTGAGGCTCACCCAGAAGGTCCAACTGGTCCAGAATGCGACGGTGTGGGTCCTTATCGGGACCCCCCAGATGGCACACATCCAACCTGTGCTGTGCAAGCTGCACTGGCTTCCAGTGGAGCACTGGAACAAGTTCAAGGTGCTGGTTCTGACCTTTAAGGCCCTTAGCAGTCAGAGACCCGCATACCATCAGGACCGCCTCTCTCAGTATGCCCCCAGTAGAGTGTTACTCTCAGGTAGCAAAAATCTCCTGGTGGTCCCTACCCTGAGAGAGAACTGGCTGTCTTCAACCACCTGATAGAACTCTCTGCCTGAGAACATCCATGCGCTGTGGGATTTATTACTTTTCCACAGGGATTGTAAGGCAGAGATGTTCCGCCAGGCATTTGGTTGAGGACAGCGACGGGACAGTAAGTCATCTGGTGCTCTCAGGTCTCCCGCTTCCCCCTCACCTGCTCTCCCCTTGGGAGGCCAGGGGAAGTTGCAATTTTCTGTCAAAATTCTTCTCCATCTTGGAATAGCCTGTTTTATTTATTGATTCTGTACTGTATTTTATTATTGTTTTTAGCTTAGTTATTATCTCATTCTGTTGTAAGCTGTCCTGAGCCCTGCTCACAGGAAAGGGTGGCCTAAAAGTCCAAATAATAAATAAATAAAGTAGTTCTTTTATGTCTTTGCAGATACTGTACTGTATATTTATTCTGGTTTGACACAAACTAACAGATAAGTTTCTCCTGCCTGTAACACTGCGAAAGATTCTATCCAGAGATAAAATATTTGGGGAAACAAAAAAGTAGACAACATAGGCAGGATTCAGGCACAACTGCAAACTATAGCTTTCAAAGCACAATAAGGCCCAAGGTTTGTAAGTCACTAAGCCATCAAACTGCGACTTGGTGTTATGTTAGAATAATCAAACCATGGTCTGAGTGATTGCTGTGCCCTTTACCAAAGAAAGAGCACCTAGGAATGAGCAGAACAGCAGCTCACACCAGCAGCATCACTAAACACTCCCTCCTAGAATCACAGAATCATAGAGTTGGAAGGGACCACCAAGGTCATAAGAACATAAGAGAACATAAGAGATGCCAATGTTGGATCAGGCTAAAGGCCCATCCAGTCCAACACTCTGTATCACACAGTGGCCAGAAATACCAGTGCCATCAGGAGGTCCACCAGTGGGGCCAGGACATTAGAAGCCCTCCCACTGTTGACCCCCCCAAGCACCAAGATGACAGGAGTTGACCCAATGATTTTGCCTGGAAGGTTTTTAAGACCATGGGGAGAAAGCCGGCACCTTTCCTTCTAAATAATCTAAGAATGACATTTGCACTTCTCTGTGCCAGGTTAGCTGATGAGGACAGATGTGCTGAGAATTTGGAATTATAAGAAAAGGTAATGCCTGATTTTAGTTTTAGCGAAATTAATAGATAGTAATTTGGTGTCACATTGCTCTTTAAATTTTATCACAGCTCGCTTCAGGCTAATCCTTGTCTGGGATAAAAGAACAGCATCGTCAGCATACATTAAGATTGGAATCTTTCTGCTACCTGAGAATGAGGGAGCATGAGTATCGACTGAATGAAGGCATGTGATTAAAGAGTTAACATAGATGTTAAATAAGAAGGGAGCCAAAAGGCAACCTTGCCTGACTCCTTTTTGCACTGGAATTTTTTATATCAGACTGTTTCGTAAAAGGTTGGATGTACACATTAATGCGAATTATCTTAAAATTAGAGAATGATAAACTAACAGCCAGAATCCAATTCTTGTTACTTTTCAATTTCTTTGGAGAACTATTTAACAATAAAGACACCAGAATACTCAGTTCTCCTGAGGGTCTTCCCCCTTTAGGACTGATCGAAGCACATGAATGAAAAGCCAGGTAGTTATGAAGTTCAAATGGGCCTTGCATCCAAGTTTCTTGTAGAAAAATGATCTTAAACTGTGAGATATAAGAAATAAAATCTTGGTCCAATGATTTAGAGCGTCATCTGGCAATATTCCAGGAGAGGAGGGGCGATAGTCTGCCTTCTCAATAATATCCAAGGACCTTCCAGCGTCAGTAAAAACACAACCATTAGATGGTGGGTTCTGTGATATTGTGGGGGACATAAAGAACATCCTAAAACACATCCCAGATTCTTCTGCAATATACAGGTTCTGTGAAAGATGGGTAGAATGGTTCAATATGTGAACCAAACATATTAAGAGCAATGGGGAAAAAACTTTTAAAGGAAAGGGGGAAACTGATCTTGTGGCTAAACTGTAAATAGTCTTATTTCACAGCTCAGCAGATCTCAACAGGCAAGAAGGTAGCAGGCTCTTCAGCTACAGTGAAGAAATGGAGGGTCTGCAAGGTGATCAATTATTTATGGGGGGGGGGGAGTATGCTGCCTCTCCAGACCAGCTGCAGGCAGCAAAAAGGACATTGTCAATACTTTGTAGATTCCAGAAATACTATTTTTCATCATCGAGATCTCCCCACCCCTTTTTCAACTGCCTTTAAAAAAAGACAATCTTACGTTTGTTTAAATATAAAATTTAATTTGTAATTTTAAGAGAGCATGAAGAAGTGTTGCTTCACACAGTATACTAAACCACATTCAGAACTACTTCTGGAGGAGAAAACTGTATTAAACTAGATTTGGACCTTTCAGCAGTAGTCTATAGTACACAAAACTCTTTCCTGGGAGTAAGTCCACTGAATAAAATTCTGAGTAGACCTGTTTAAAATTGGTTTCTAAGTACCATGCTGCAACTGATCAGGGTGAGAAGTACATCCCTTAGTAGTTCCAGCTCTCCTCTACTTGTCTTCTAACACCAGAAAAACATTATGAAATAAAAACATCAACAGCTGTTAGTTAAAATGAAACAGAGACAGTACTGTTAGAATACAAAGTTTGTTTTAAAAATAAATATTATGCCACAGCTGCTTTTGAATATTAAATAGACAGCTCTGAAGTATAAAATCCTGCCAATGATGCATATAGATAAAGTAGAAATGTGTTCTGATTTTCATAACTGCTAACAACATGCCGCTCCCATTGATTTCTTTGGGAACTGGGAGTCACTCCAAACTTTCATGAATTAGGCTGTTAGCATTTTCTGCTTTTCAACCTTTCTTTGATATGCAAAAGAACATTACACAAAATGTTCTGAATGAATGAAAGATCTTGTAAAAATAGCAAATCTGTTCCTAACAGTTACGCAACTTAAACCTATGCATGCTTATTTCTAAATCCATACCCGTTCAGCGGAGCCTGTGAACAGGTAAATACAGCTATGGCCATTGGTACAGCCATTTAAAACTAAAATCTTTTGATTCCTCCATTTTCAATTCCTCAGTACTAGGATGAGACAAAGAACACTGGCTTCTACCAAGAAACAATTTCTGGAAGTGAAAAGCAATGCAAACTTGTGCTTCCAGCTGATCCCAGGGAGGCTGTAGAAACCCTGAACAGGTCCCTGGAGATAGTTTTGGAGTGGATCCAGACTAATAAACTGAAGCCCAATCCCAACAAGATGGAAGTGTTACTGGTGGGCAGAAGGCCTGACCTGGGATGTAAGGTGTCACCTGTTCTGGATGGGGTTGCACTCCCCTTAAAGAAATAGGCCTTTAGTCTGTGGGTGGTCTTGGAACCAGGCTAGTGCTGACTAAGCGGGTGGCAGCTGTGGCCAGGAGTGCCTTTTACCAGCTTTTTTTTTTATAATAAAGGTTTTATTAGCTCCCCTAAAAAGGGGAGGTATTTCGCTTAAGAGAAAAAAAGGGAAGGGTAGACAGTGGGAGAAAGAGAAAGCTGAGTGATATATAAACTGGTAAATTAAACTGTTAGTAATGTCCAATTAATCTTCTTGGGCTTCTTCTGTGTGTTGTCAAACTTCTTTTCTTAGTCCTGTTACATGTAATTCTCTGTTAGTATGTTAGTAATGTTCCTTTGAGTTTCTGTTAATAAAAAAGATCTCTTCTGTGCACTTTCATAACCGCTTCTTTGCGTGCTGGGTACTTTTACTATCGCTGACGTGGAGGAGCTTCCTCTGTTGTCTTCTCCTTCCGGCTTGTTAGATCCTCCTTTGGGTTGTTGTTGATACTCTCAGTTCATGCACTATAAATCCTCTTCTTTTCATGCCGTTACCGGAGGTCCCCCAGTTTCGAGAATGGTATTAATTTCATTTTCGCTTTTATATCCGCTCCCAAACTCTCTATGGGTCCTCCTTGCAATTGTTGACTTATATAAGCGTTTGTCAGGCACTTCTCGCTGTCACAATTCCAACTTATCCGTTTTACAAAACTCCCGTCGGATTCACAGCCATAAACAGTCCAAACATTCAACAGCCGGCTCTCGCACACAAGCAAACGCCCAGACGGAAGTCCCTCCCTTCTTCTCCGCTCGCTTTTGCCCAGCTCCGACATCTTTTCTTTTTCGTTTACTTTTAGAAAGTTCTTAAAATGTGCTCCAGAGAGACAAATTTCTCGCTTTCAAATACATCAAAGGAAAACATCACTGTCCGCTCAATTCATTCCCCCCCTCCTTTTCTTCGCTTATACATACAGATGGAGGATTAACCTCTTCGCCTTTTTCGCTGGGAGGGGGGGGAAACAATTTTTAGTTGGGGTCGCTCACGCAGCAAGGTCCAATGGGGCAGGGCATGGCGGGAGCCTCGTTCTCCGACCTCTCGGCCGAAAGAGCGACTCCCCCCTAGTGCGCCCTAAAGCGCCCCGGATCCGAGCTCCTCTCTTCTGAGGTGCTCGTTCGGGTCTCCGCTCGTGCGGATTCCCTCCTCCACCGCGGGCGGGCGAGACGCCCTCGGGAGCGACCCGAGGATGCGTCCGCCATTCGCGGGAGCCAGACCGGAAGCCTGCCTTTTACCAGCTTTGACTGTTTAGTCAGCTGTTCTCTGAACACAAAAGATCTGGCCACTGGGGTGAATGCCTTGGTTATATCTAGATTAGATTACTGCAATATGGGGCTGCCTTTGAGAAGTATTCAGAAACTTCCACTGGTGCAGAATGTCCCTGCCAGGATGTTGACTGGAGTGGGTCATAGGGACCATATCAGTGCAGTCTTGTTCTGTTTACACTGGCTCCCAATCTATTTCCAGGAACAATTCAAGCTCCTGGCGTTAACCTTTAAAGCCCTGTATGGTTTGGGACCAACATACCCGAAGGACTGCCTACTCCCTTATAAACCTACCTGATCACTATGGTCATCTTCCAAGGCCATGCTTTGAATGGCCCTGCCTTCTGAGATTAGGTGGGTGGCGCCAAAACTCAGGAACAACCCCCCCTCCCCCAGAGACTTGCCTGTCCCCTTCTGTTGCCATCTTCCACCACTGGGTGAAGACTTTTTTGTTTTGCTTTTAAGATATGTTTTTATTATTATGTTTATTATTATTATGTTTTTATTCTGTTAGTCACCTTGGTGACCCTAATGAGGGCAAACAGGCAGGGTATATATTGACTAAATAAATAAAACCTTAGATATAAGTATTGAGCACCAAAGACATGTC